TTTTTTTTGGTTTTTCTCCGGTACCAGGAACCGAACTCACGACCTTGCGCTTGCCAGGCAGGCGCTTTTGCCACTGAGCTAAATCCCCAGCCCCCACACCGTTCGATTCTACCTCTTGTCCCCGTCTCCTAGTCACTGAGTCACTCAGCATCCACTTCAGTTTTCCTTTCCCTCCTAAGGCCTACATCAGAGAGCAACATCACCGCATGCCGGGCCCTCTCATCTCCAGTGACCTTCTCTGCTCTATGACTACACTTAGAAACGCTCCAACTCTAAAAATATAAATTCTACTCTCTGATCCCCAATTTTTCCATTTAAACTATGTGGAACACCTTGGGACAATCCGTCCACAAAGCCCTTTATTTCTTCTCCACCTGAGGTAGCTACTGAATGTCCACGTGCCAGACACCGAACTATGTATTAGCCCCTGACTGGCTCCACTTCCTGGCCAGCTCAGACTCCGTGGTTCATCACGTCAAGTGCTCACTTCCTAGCACCCACTGACCTCACCTGGCAAAACCCCAATACTATGCAATTTCAATTACAATTCTTTGCTGTCCTAGTAGCTAGCATATGGAATGCTGTTGGAAAAGATCACAAGTCTCACAGATTGCTGTCACTGCAAATTCAAGGTCAAAAACTTCAACCCTCCCAGCAAGTTGCTTTCCTCCTCAGCATTCGCTTCCATCCTCCACAGCGGCTACTTCAAAAAGTCCCCATTTTTACAACTACTTCCACCTTTAGTCACAATTTCACCTCCTCCTTCACATGGAAAATAGAAGCATTCACACCAGAATGTCCCCACTTTTTGTTACTAAACCTTTAAACTTGGCTCCATGTGAATGTCTTTTCCTCTTGTTATAATGTAAAATGATTCCCTATCCCATCCAGGGCTCTTTGACTCTTGTTCTAAATCCCCTGCTTAGATCACATTTCAAAGGTGCTTTAAGTTAAGTTGTTTCTGTTTTGCAACATTACTGCCCTCTCTATGCTTCTTCCTGTCAGCATCTAAATATGCTCAAATCTTAAATATATATGTATGAAATCCTAGAATACAGGCCCATGAGGATAGCATACAGCTGTCTTATACTTGTTGCTTTATCTTCTCAAAGCCTAGCACAGTATTTTGTAAATATTGGGTAACACAAGAAATGTTAAATGAATGAAAAACATCTGTACTTTCTGCATCTACTTTTTCATAAATACTACTTAGTGCACTGTAGTCTGACTTTGACCCCATCCTACCAGAGTGCTCCTGCGCAAGTTACAAATTCCTGCTTCATCATTACATCAAAGGACTTTGCTTGCTTTCTGGCAGCATTAACTTTTGACTATGACTCTCTTCCCTAGATTTTCCTACTTTTCTTGTACATGCAATTTTATACATACCTGGTTTATCCACTTAAGATCATGTGACAATTTTCCTGTGCTTTTATCCTTCAAAATTTGGACTTCAACAACTGCATTGTTTTGTTTTTTTTTTTTTTTTTTTTCAGAAGACTGTCCACTGAATTATTGACTCTCTTATTTTGGACATTTAGGTTGTGTTCGGTGATCTAATCAAAGCAGGCCTACCTCTCTCTTCCTGGATAACTACCCTAGGGACTTCCTTCCTCCATCGAACTCTGCTCTGGAATGAGACTCTCTCCTTAGCTCCCTTCTTCTTGCTACTCTCAAACAAGACTGCAAGGTTCCCTTTCATCTGAAGTTTTGACTGTTATAGGAAACATACTTTTCTTTTATAGCCAAGGAACCACAGGCAAGATATTCAGCTCATGCAGTACCGACTTTAAAGCTCTGCGCTAGACTTGACAATAAGGAAGCGACAGATAGAAACACTCTGTGCTTTGAATTTCATGGACTTAACAGTATATTCCAGAGAGAAAGATGAACGCTAGTTGTTCAATTAGTTATTCAATTAAACTGATAAATGTCATAAAAAACAAAATGGGACCTTCCTAATTGTATGTGTGGAAGAGGAGGTGACAGCTCTGTGTGATTCTATGTTTGAGAAAGCTTTTTTGAGGAACAGACATTTAACTGAAATCTACATATTATACAGCAGCTAGCTAGCTAAAGAGAGGAGACGTTTGGAAACGCTGCATATGCAGCGATGAGAAGCAGAATGGTGAATACAAAAAGCTGAAAAAGGCAGAATGGTGGAAGTATAAATACTGAAAGGAGGAGGCATGCATCAGTCATAGCTGTGCACAAGGGCAAGGACCACTTCATTTGGGCTGTATGGGCTATTTTAAAGAGGATTTTGAAAAGGGAGAATTACATTAAATTTTTTTAAGATCACTCCAGCTACAGTGTGGACAATAAACTGTAAGGAGATAAGAGCTGACAGAAGATCAATTAGAAGGCTACTAGAAAAGAGAGGACAGTGGCTTAGACTGGCAACAGTACAAAGCAATAACAGTCAATGGATGTGTGATATACAGGAGAATCTGGCTGATTCAACAGGGTTAAGGACGGGACAGTGGAAGACAGGAATGTCAGGATGACTCCCAAGTTGCACGTCTGTGTAACATGACAGACAGCAGTGCTTGTCATTGAAACAGGAAACACTGGACTGAAACGGGATCTTTCCTTTATTCAGGAAAGTGGTGAGTAGAAGCAGAAGCTATTTCTAAGTTCACGTTTGGAGATGTATTCTTATAGTTAGGAAATATTAATTAAAGGTCAAAAACACTATTGCAAAGGTTTGGCATTTAACAATAAAGGAGTTCTTAATACACTGACAGGTCCTGAACTCAAAGATGTAACTAAAGTTGCCTGGGGGAAAAAGTCTTGTATGAAAAAAGAGCATAGGACCACACCTCAAGGGACAGTTCTATAAAGAGGTCACATGGAGAAGATAAGCCGGCAAATAAACTCCAGCAAAAACAGCCAAAGAGTAAAGAGGAAAAACAGAAGACTACAGAATCACAGGCCCTTAGAGAAGACAGCTTTCAGAAAGTGATCAGCAGTGCCTGGTGCAACTTGAAAGGACAAATAGTCTGAGATGCACAGAGGTTATGGGGGGAAAGGAGGATATCAAATTTCTACCTTAGGTAGGAAAAAGCCCACAGTGAAAAGGGAAGAGAGAAGATGGCCACCAACACTGATACTTGAAGAAATTCTCAACTGCTGGTTTCAATTTTGTTCTATAAAACAGAGAGAAGGCTCAACAGTGAACGCAGGTGTTGAGATTTGTGATTTGAATATAGTCAAGAATCTAGAAGGCAGAAAAGACGCCTTTTAACCATGTGCTTTATTCCTCAGGGTGCGAGCTGAGGTGGTTGGGAGACTGGTAGAACGGAACCAGTCATGAGGAGACCATGGAATAGAAACAGTTTGCTAGAGCTGCAAACGCTGGAGGCAGTAAGAGTCTGGAAGTGGCAACAGGAGAAAGGAATGACCTCCAACTTTAAAAGATTGGGATTTGAGGAAATAAATAGCTACTATGAGACATAAGCCCACAAAAGAATCAGGTTTTAGTTTGGATAATAAGTATGAAAATTCAGAAACTATAAAAACACGGGGAAGTAAGGGAGGGAAACAGCAGGAGGCTAAGTCAGCTGAAAAGGACACAACTTTACAGAGATGTGACAGTAGAAGAGGGCATATGTGAGGAGGTGCTTACTGGTTGTCCTTTTTCTGAAAGGAGGGAGGAGCAAAGAAAACAAAGTAAGAAAGCTACAGAGTTACAGGGCAGAAGTGCAGGTCTACAATTCCTGCTCCCTCTTGAAGTGTAAACAGAAATGCATGCTTCTGTTAACAGCACTGTGATGTAAGGATTAAGTAACACCAAATCAGGCGTGGTTCAGGAATAGTCACTGTACTAGGGACCCACAAACTCCTGCCCACAATTATGCTGGGGCACAATTCTATTCATTCAGAGTAATAAAATCCTTGAAATAAGTAGGCTTCGCTCCGGAGTTATTCCTTCGATAGAGACTCTTAGGTAATAGAGACATTAATGTCAGTGTTCGAAACAAAGGAAGTTGTTGCTTTAAGATCATATTGAATACATCCAAAAAGTTTCTGGACATTTTCTCTATGTAAAAACTTGGCTGGCTTTTTCATAGCGAAATATTAAAATGATATTTCATGTTTTATGGTCTAGCTGGCAAACAGATCTGCCCAATACCTACATCATAGTATCACAGAACTTTTAATTCAGAGGAGACTTCAGGGCAGAGACCATCAACCTGTGGACTTCAGAACTTCAAGAAGTTGTGAAATTCATGTAAGAGATCTGCAAATCCATTGTTCGGGGGCTGAATAATGTCCTATGCCTACACAGTTTGAATGTGGAAATACATGCAAGTATTTTCACGATTAATTTTAAAAGGATGGTAAAACAGAAGTTATCAATCCAGAAAGTTTGGAAATGCTGTTCTGTGAACTGCTGTGTTCCACTTAGCACTGTACACGTTACTACGACTGGCCAGCTGCGACCAGAACAGGAAGTCTTACTCACAAACGGCTTGAGCACTTTCTGAAACAGTAATCACTCTGTGAGGAAAGTCATTCCATTTTTAGGCAGCTCTCATTCTGACATGCTAAGATCATCCACTTTGCACACAATAGTATCAGAAATACATGAGAGAGTTAACACGTCCTGCCTAAGACTTTCTATCATACTTCACCCTTCAGTCAAGGAGGTAACTTGGTTGCTCAGTTCTACCCTCACCTCTTCCTGTCCCTTCCACATGCACTCACCTGCCAGTGTCCCTCTTAAAACTCTAAACATGACACAGCACACCAGATTTGATTTACTGAAGCAACACACAACTAAGACATCCCCTGAGCAAGATGCTATCGAAGTCTGGGCTTTTAAAGCTCTGCCGTCAGCTAAAACACTTAGGACCTAAGTTAGGTCCCTCCGTCGTATTTCAGTCCATACTTTTCTTTTACTGCCAATAATCTGTTAAATCCCACCTTGCCACTGACCATCACTCCAGTTTCTTAACAGTCTTGATGGTGCCATCTAACATCTTAGGCACCGTTCCTTGTGTTCTATCACTGGTAAATTTGATGACAGGACATTCTACAGAGGAGCTTATTCCTGTCACTGAAATAACTTTTTCTTGTTCAAATGACTAGTGACATTATATTAGAAAGAACATTAATTTTTATACTTAACATATCATTTATATAACTCAAGACATTTTACAGCAATAGTCATTCTCCTCTTACCTTGCAATAGCTCTGATGAAGTCTAATGAAACTGTGCACTTGTATTTTGGTCCATCAAGCTGATCATCATGGCCAACCAGGGTTAACAGCTGAAGGGTCACTAGAGAGGTAATCTAAAGAAATATTTGCAGGAAACCTGCTTTAATGAGATTACATGATGTCCTTCTGCTGAAACATTTTATAGTACCGTAGTACTGCTGATAAAGACATAATGAAATCCATGAAAAATATCTGGGAAGAAGGTGACTACTTTGAAATTTGTCTGCATAATTGTACATGTCTGAAACCCTCATGTAACGACTAGGAGAATCATAGTTTTAATGGTTGAGTCAAACCAGTGGCCCTTAACAATCCTAGAGATACTTTATTTCATTAACGACTGACACATGAGTGCTAAACCTTTGAAAAATACAAATAAAACATATTCTTTCTCTACATACGCATTTTCTAGAATTTCTGTCTAAACATCTGAGATTATCAAACCTATACTACCTTGAAAAAACAATTAAAATTTCAAGACTGGCATTTCTTAGAATTTAGTAGCTCGTTAGATGAGAGATACATGTATCCTTCCAACCTGGGCTTAGTCTTGCTTTAAAATGTATCACTGATCAGGTAGTCAGGAAAACACTAGAATGATTAATAATGGCAAAAGCAAAAGTGTATTTCAATAGGTCAACTAAAGTAAAAAAATAACTTCACATTCACATGCCCAACCAAAGTATTAAGCGCTCTGAAATCTAAGAAAGCTAATCCAAGAGCTTAACTCTTTGATCAGTCTACTGTCTTCTCCCAATTTATTTGTTTCTCTCCTGTAGGCCAGCAGGAAAAAGAGCCAGCAACAGCAAGAAGAAAAAATTGGACGGTTGATGTAATATCTAATCATACCCTAGGAATTAAAATGCTCACTTAATTTTGGGACTAATACTCTGCAGACGTAAGTGAATATTCTAGAAAGAATAAAAATAATAGCAGTAGTGATGTGCTTGGTTTTAAGTATTCTATACACATTTTCTCATTTATTATTCATGTTCCTATCAGGTGAACGTTATTACAATCATTTTACAGATGTGTCTTGAAGACGTTAAGTAACTTTCCCTGAATGCCACAGTGGTAGGTGGTACCGCAGGAACTGAAGCTTACGATCCATCCTCACCCTACTACTACGTTTTCAAGGACTCCACTACACTGTCCCTTATGACTTCAAAGGGAAAACTGTCAGTGTTCAGTCAGCTGTCTTTGTTAAGTTATTAACAAATTAAACGGTGAATGCATGGTAGACATCACAGTATTTTATAGAGAAAATACAATATTTAGGAAATATGAAGCATTTCAATTATAAAAATAATTTGTAGCAATACATCAAAACACAAAGCTTGGCATTCAAAATGCTGACTTTAATTTTTAATTCAATATCATCAATTAGGTTATGTCTCAAAACACTTTTCATAAGCGCTGTGTGTTGAAAAGAGTATGTATATTGGCAGCTGTTGCTTGCTCTGTTCCATATGTGTCTATTACATTAAGCTTGTTATTTGCTTTACTCAAATCTTTAAATATACCATTTAAAAAATCTATTTGATCTATCAAAACTGAAAGAAGTATTAAAATCTCCCATTAAGAGGTCTGTCTTTTTGGAAGTCTGTTAGTTTTTGCTTTGTATTTTTGAAGCTGTCATTAAATGTATAAAGATTTTAAATTACTAGGCTTTGCTAACAAATGAAACTTTTTCATTATGATATAATGATCCTTTTCTTTTCCAGTAATGTCTTTGCCTTGGTGTATTTTTTCTATTAATACAGCTATGTTGGCATTCTTTGACTTTACTATCAAGTTTTATTCTCTCTTTCCTTCCTTCTTTCCTTCCTTCCTTCCTTCCTTTCTTCCTCTGTCTACCCGCTGTTTTTGAAACCAGTTGCTCTATCACTGGGCTATATCCCCAGCCCTTATTTTTTATTTTGAGACAAGGCATGCTAAATTGTCTAGGCTGGTCTGGAACTTGTAACCCTCAAGCCTCTGCCTTTCTAGCAGCTAGGATTAAAGCATGCACCACTGTGCCTGGCAGTTTATATTTTCTTAACTTTAGACAGTTCTCATATAAACAACGTGTAGTGGTATTTAGTTTGTATAGCCATCTGACAATTTTATCTTTTAGTTGAACCATGTACTCCATTTGCTTTTATTGTATCTAATGATTTTATAAAATTTTATTTCTACTTTTATGTCAACCTTTCTGTGTCCTCATTTTTTGTTGGCTTTTGTTGTACTGCATTATATGTTTTCATTCCATAGTTTCACTTTGCTACTTTGGAAGTGGTCATATACTCCATTTAAATTCTAATTTCCATTTTTATTTTTATTTTTTAAATTTCCTACTTGTTCAGTTTAGCTAGTTTCTTGTTTTGTTTCAGGGGATCACAGAACATGGACTGAATACTAGCTATCTTTTGAAACTTGTTGATACAGAGGGGTTCTTTGGGTGGGAAGGATGCACACGACCCAGAGAGCACCGTGACAGTGAAGACAGGGAAGCCAGTGGTGGAGGCCACCAGTGCCCACTGTAGGGGTGGACACAGAACTTCTGATTCCAGAAAAAGAACACGGTTTAAGAGAAAAAACACACAAAGTGAAGATCTGTCTTCTGTCACTTACAAGCAACCTCAAAAAAGTCAATTTGAGTTTCAATTTTTAAAATCAAAAAATGAAAATAAGGATATATCAGCCATGCAGAGATGTTTTAAATATTAGAGAGAGGGGTAGAATTCAGATGTGTCATGTACATGTACCAACTCTCCACAATGAATGTAACCATGCACTACATACACGTACTAAAAATAAAAGTTGAAATACTTTTAGAATTTATAAATGACTTTAGTACAGTTATAGGATATAAAAATCAGCAAACAAAAACTGCTGCCTATTTATACATTTTCCATGAACTATCCAAAAGAGAAATTAAGAAAGCAATCTCATTTTAATATCAAAGATACTTTGGAATGAATTTAAGCAAGGAGGTTATACTCTGAAAACTACAAGACAAAGAAATTCAAGAAGACACAAATAATGAAAACATATGTGTTCATGGATGGAACAGATCATATTGTTACAATGTTAATACTACCAAAATGATCAATGCATTCAGTGCAATTTCCTAGCAAAATTCTATTATATTTTCACAGAAATAGAAAAAAAATCCTACAATTCATATCAAATCACAAAACTCTTCCCAACAACTAAAACAATCTTGAGAAAAAACAAAGATGAGGTACCACAACTACATTGCATTACAAAGCAATAGTAATCAAAATAGTATGGCACTGGCATAAAAACTCACATAGATCAATGGAACAAAACAAACAGTCCAGAAATAAACCCACCCATATACAAAGATGCCAAGAATACACCACGAACGAGTCTCATTAGTAAATGATATTGGGAAACTGGATTTCCATATACAAAACATGAAAATGGACCCTTATTTTATACCATACTTAGAAGTATTAACAAGAAAAAGATTAAAGATCCAGGTATGGTCATACATGCCTGCAATCCCAGAACTAGAGAGGCTGGAGGCAGAAGGAATGGAAGTCTGAGCCCAGCCTGAGCGTTTAGCAACTTAGTGAGAACCTATCTTAAAATTAACTAATTAAGTAAGTAAGTAAGTAGTATTTCAAAAGAGCTAAGGATGCAGCTCAGGGCAGAGGCCTTGGTTCAATCCCCAGGGCCACAGAAACAGATTAAAGACTTAGATGTAAGACACGAAGCCATTAAACTCATCGAAGAAAAGATAGGGGAAATACTATTTGACGCTACTCCTGAAAATGATTTTTCAGGTAAAATTCCCAAAGGACAAGCAACAAAAGCAAAAATAAACAAGGATGAGTCCATCAAACTCAACAACTTCTGCCCAGGGGACAACCAGTAAAATGACAAGGCAACCTACGGAATGTGAGAAAAAAAATCAGGTAGTTTATTTACTTTTTACATCAGGTAGTTTAAATAGGTAATAGTCATAAACAAATTTCCATTAGTAGTTAAAGGAGAACTAAGTACCTCAAATAAAAATCAAAGATTGACTGAAAAAAAATCCAACTGTTTAGAAGAAGCGTATGAAAAAGTCGAAAGGACTTTCAAGCAAATGCAGTTGACGTCTGTAAGGGTTTTATATCCACAGTCTCATCCAACCACTTATCAACAACATTTCTGCATCTTTATTGAACACGTGTAGACATTCTTCTTGTCATCATCCCTTCACAATGTAGTGTAACAATTGTCTAGACACATTTGCTATGTTAGGTATTACAGGTGATCTAGCGATGACTCAGAGTACACAGGAAGATATGCACAAGTTATACGCAAACATCACACAATTGTATGAGTCCGGGCATCAGTTCACTGTGGTACCCACAGGGCTCCTGGAATCAATGCCCTGCAGATACTAAGGAACAAATGTACTAACTAAAAAGAAAAATGAAGGGATGTTGCCACCAGTTAAAACACACACACACACTTAAAAAAGATTCACAGAAAGGGTTACTGAATAATGATAAAATGCAGAACCTTGGGACCTTTATTAAGGAGGAGACATAGAACAGGATGGGCAGCCATGGGATAAAGGGCTCTTTGGAAAGGAAGTGCTGCTGAAGGCCAAGATAAGGCACACTTTATATTATTCCCAGTTTAGAGACAGGTAGAATTCCATGGAGAGCATAGGTCTTAATGAACCAGAAGATTTACAGAAAAGGGTTAAGATAATCTTCTACAGCAAACTATATTAAATTCAACCCTTTCTATTTTTCCATAAAGGATTAACTTGGAAAAACAGGTTACAATAGTCTCTGGAAAATCATACACTAACTATTATTATTAAAGGTAAATCTCCTTGGTACTTGTTTTTTTAAAATAGAAGAAAAATTAATTACCTTTTACTTTACCACTGGCATTTCCTTAAAACTTCTACTTTTCTGTATTCTAATACATATATATATACTTTAAATTGTACAGTAAATTATTCTTCTATAACTTTCATAGAGAAATACAAAATCTCTCTTAACTAGTTAAATTTGAATTTCAAACAAATTTTCAGGCTGTCTTAATTTATTAGTTTCACAAG